ATAGTGGACTCTTGGTGTCCATGGCATCAAACTAATTCCAATTCTAACCTACATTACTGCACATACTTTTGTGGAAAGTAATGCTAGAAGAATCTGGACTACCATGCCCCGGCTGGGCTGGGGATTGGCTGGGGTAGCCTTGGCTGACGGACACGTGGGAACCTTGATGGCCGGAGAAGCCCAGACCCCTATCAGGCAGGCAGCCTGGGTGAGTGGGGGCTGATTACCACCTCAGAAAGATTTTCAGGTGATGGGCTGCCCCCACCCTGGAGGCTAAGCAGGTGGCTGGGAACAGCCTGAGCTCCACGGGCCTGCAGGACCCGCGCAGCCAAAAGCCAGCTGCGGAGGTGTAACTGCGCATGCTCGAGAGACCGGGGTCAGCGTAGCCGGGGACCTGGAACAGGGTCATGCCCGTGAGGCCAGATCACAGGGTGAGGGTGTTGGAGGTCCCTGGGGTCTGCCTAATTTGAACCCCTAACCTGCGCGTAGACCGTCTCCCCTCGCAGGCAGATCTGGAGGAGGCTGTGGTGCCTTGCTCGTGTTACAGGAGGGTGGGAGAGACATTGGTCCTTGTCTCATGGAGTCGAAAATCTCGGGGACCACAGAGAGTGAGGAAAGCGATAGAGTTTCTTGAGAGAAAGTATAAAGCTCTCAAGAATGAGAGGGGGTCTCGACTGGGTTCCTGCCAAGGATTTTTGTCCCTGACTTTTTATTGGGGCCTTATCAGAAGAAGGTTTGTGAGGTTTCATGCACGGCACCCAGCTCAGGTAGGTCGGAAGCAGGTTCGTCTCATCCTCTTTTTTTCCCCCAACTCCAATGCCATTGTAGCTTGGTCAGCCTCCCACTTGCAGCTGCAGTCTGCCTCCCTGAAGGTCCCTTATCTCTCTCCCTCTCTAATGTTAACCCTTTCCCTATTCGCTAGGGCTGGATTTCACGAGCTGGCTGATAAATCTTCCAAGAAGAGACGCTTGGGAACCTTGATTGCTGCAGAAGCCCGGGACACCAGCACATGGTAAGTACTCATGGGGACTGACTGTCACCCATTTCAGTGGCCTTCTCAGCTATCATGGGGTTGGTGGGATTCCTCCAACCCTCCAGGCAATACAGGTGGTTGGGGATGAGCTTTACTTAGCTCCACAGGCCTGGAAAGTCAGTACTGGCCAAGGGTGCCTGACAGGGTGCGGACTGTTAATGCCAGGTGGCGCAGGTCAGGGTAGCCAGGGACCTGGAACAGGGTGGTTTGGGTAAGGCCAGGACATAGGAGCCTGCTGTTGGGCGTACCTAGTATCTGCCTAATTCCAAGGCTTAATTTACACAAAAGTGCTGATCATTTCTGATGGCTGTTTTGTTTAGGGAGGCAAGTAAAGGCAGAGATTTTGGCTTTGCAACAACGTATTGTAACACTGGTTCAGTCTGTGAATTTCACATGCAAGTTGCATATAGGATAATGTCTTCTAATTAGCCAATAAAGGAGTCGCATATTCCAAACCAGTGTTAGATTAATCATAGTATTGTTCTGGGCAAGGAGAGATGAAAGGGCTAAAGTCCAAATATAGTTGAAGTTGTACCTTCATAGGAGTTGGTACTTGGGAGAGGTGGCCCAGCTGACTGGGAGCTGAAGTCCAGGTGCCTGTGTTGCTAGAGCACATTGTTGGGAAACATGGTCACCAGTGAAAAAGTTGGCTTTACTCCCAGGACGGGATAGCCCCATGGTCTTCAAGGGCTCTTTCAGATCAGCAAGTTGTAGCTTTGCCCAGAGGGAACACTGTCAGTCCTTACAAATGCTCAGTGTTTATAGTCCAAATGTCCCTTGCCATAGTTGCTTTTTTTTTTTTTTTTTTTTTTTTAGGATTTTATTTGTAAATAATTTCTACACTCAAGGTGGGGCTCAAACTCATAGCCCTAAGATAAAGAATGGCCTGTTAGTTGGACTGAGCCAGTCAGGAGCCCCTGTAGTTGCTTCTTGGTATGTTCTTACTGATAAGCCCTAACTGAGGTCCCTCAGCAGCTGAGTGACTGGATGAGGAGATGGTGACACCCTGACACAACTTACTTTATTCTGGTATTGAAACAGTTATATTCCTAAGTCTTTGAAATCATACCAAATACACAACAATCCATCCACTCTGTGATTCCAGCCACTCACACACTAGTTCATACTAAGGGTCTGATGTCCTGCACAAATCTAAGCTCACAAAAAATGGGGCGCCTGGGGGGCTCAGTCGGTTAAGCGTCCGACCTCAGTTCAGGTCATGATTCACGGTTCGTGAGTTCATACCCCGCGTTGTTCTGTGCTGACAGCTCAGAGCCTGGAGGCTGCTTTAGCTTCTGTGTCTCCCCCTCTCTCTGCCCCTCCCCTGATCACGCTGTCTCTGTCTCTCTTAAAAATAAATGAGTATTAAAAAAGTTAAAAAAATTTCTTTAAGCTCACAAAAATATCTATCCACCCATGATTGTGTATCACTTGTAATCTTGTTTTATTTAAAAAAAATTTTTTTTTACATTTATTTGTTTTTGAGAGACAGAGAGACAGCGTGAGCAGGGGAGGGGCAGATTGAGAGAGGGAGACACAGAATCAGAAGCAGGCTCCAGGCTCCGAGCTGTCATCACAGAGCCCGACATGGGGCTTGAACCCACAAACTGTGAGATCATGACCTGAGCTGAAGTCGGACACGCAACCAACTGAACCACCCAGGTGCCCCTGCAATCTTTTTTTTTTTTTTAAATTAAAAATGTTTTTCTTTTAATGTTTGAATGTTTAAATGTTTAATGAGCTGTCAGCACAGAGCCTAATGTCAGGCTCGAACCGTGATGTCAGCCATGAGATCATGACCTGAGCTGAAGTTGGAGACTTAACTGACTGAGCCACCCAGGCGCCCCAATATCACTTGCAATGTTAATCACAATCATATTTTGTATTTTTCCTTGGACACCCATTCTTTTACACCATAGTTTAATGACCAGTTCAAGTAACCATAGTCCAAATATGAGGATGACCAAGAACTCTTTAATATGGTACCATGGCCAGTTGCCAGATGACCAAAAGTTAAGCTTGTTGAACCACCTAGTTTAACTTCTTTGACAATTAGGTTTCCAAAAAGATAGGTTTTATAAAGCTCCCAGGGCTGTGAGCCTGCATAACCTCGTACTGTAACATCAGAATTCGAGGCTGTCAAAATTTTAGGGATGCAAGTTTTTGTTCTCTTTTCAATTCTTGCAAAGTTATTTTCACTTCAGTAGCCTCGTCTTCCAAATGTGCCTTTATGTGTTTTAAGTTTTCTAATGTACGATTGACATTTATTAGATTAATTTGAATATTTTCAATGTGAACTATGTCTCTGTTTACTTTAATCTTTTTTTCTATTGACCTTGAATAGCATCTTTTTCCTCATATTGTCAGATTAATTCCCTGTTGTGGTTTTACACATTCCATCCTATTGTATTTTTACTGTATTTTTCTCTCAACTCCGGTAAGTTAGGGTGAGGTTTGCCTTAGAGCATGCTATCCTGGTCCAGTTTTCCATATTATACATAACTGGTTGAGGAGGCATCAAGGCTATCATCATAGGTATGTGTACTATAGGTATATCCAGAGGTCTAGCGGTAATAAAGATTGGTTCCATTCCAACAACATATCCTTAGGAACATATCTTTTGACATTGGGAACCGCAAAAGTGCGGCACCTAATGTCCTGTTTCCTTCTTTAAGTGCCAGTATTCTAGTTTCACAGTTGCTGCAGGAATCACAGCCATTAGGGTCTGCTAATGTGGCATCTACTCTTAACTTCTGCTTGGGTTGTCTGTTATCTCAGATGACCAGTATTGCCCTGAGATGGTAGCTGTTCTGAGATAATTCCATATATCAACCAGTCTTAACTGCAACGATTGACAGTGCACAGTTGGAGAAACATCTCTATTTTTACAAAAAATTTTAATCTTTATTTTTGAGAGAGGGAGACAGAGTATGAGCGAGGGAGGGGCAGAGGGAGACACAGAATCCAAAGCAGGTTCCAGGCTCTGAGCTGTCAGCAAAGAGCCCGGCGCGGGGCTCGAACTCACAAACCGTGAGATCATGACCTGAGCCGAGGTTGGCAGCTTAACCACCTGAGCCACCCAGGTGCCTTCAGGAATGTCTCCTATGGCATTTTTAGATGTCATTATGTTTAGTGTTTTATCCAACTTACTTTTGTCAAATTTCCATTGCTCTATTTACTTCCGTGTGAAATATGTTTAGTAATAAATTGCTAATTTTATCCATCTGTGTATACAATAATGTATCTGGAGCTGCCATTGCTTGTGTGTTAAATTAAGATTGTTTTGTTTCAAAACTTCTAAAATTAAATGTGGTTCGATTGATTTAGAATTGAGAAAAATTGACTGCCATTGTTCTACCAAGGAAACCTCTTACCAGTCCAACAAGGAACTGTAAGGATTTCCTTACTTTTAGCGAATCTGTTTTTGGCATAGGTTGTAAATTGAGCAGAATTTGGGGATCTGTATCTGGCTTGAAAGTCCTGTATGTCAAATTTCAAGACATAGGCTACTATTGTGGGTTACAATGACTGGGAGAGGTTATTAACATAGTTGCCCATATTCTTGGGGTAGAAATCTGTAGTGTGAGATAGAAGCCTGATGTCTATACCATGATAGGTAATATGTACTATGCTAAGTTTCCTGTGTGTCTTCTATACACATGACAAGGTGTCCCTGTTTTTAAAGTCTGGACATAGTGTCTGTGGATCTGGTGTTATTTTTCTTATAGGTGAATATGGATTAAACAGTAAGTTGGGAGTATAGTAATGAACAGGTTTTTTTTTTTTTTTTGCTGATTTCTATTTAAAGAAATAATTGCCCATTTTGCATATTCATCAGATGCCCTTTTGTCAGAAAATGCTAGCACACAAAGTGAATCAGGAATTAAACTGAGGTTATTTTCACAGAGACCCTGCCATGTGTCCAATGCTGCGCTCAATTCAGTAAGATAAAGGAAAAGTGCAAAAGTCAGTACCTAGTCTTGGTGTATGTGCTGGGTTGTAATACCAAAATCCAGTTAGCAGTTCAGGCCAATCTTCATCCTCCAAGTCAGTCTCTCGAAGGGAGTGTTGTTCATGATCCTTGTTGTTTCTTGTGGAGATTGAAATGGAGGTTTCTACCGCTTCATCAGCTTCCCAAAGTATTTGGCTGAAGGTTTCCTGTGAGTAGATGGTGCTGATAATGAAGGGTGGTATGGAGAGGTGGGGCTTGGTGATGCCTGGGATGTGGGTGATGCTGGTGAGTCCTCGTTTTGCGGTAAGGTGACCAGGATGGTGATCTGTGAAGGAAGTAGAGGATGTCACAGACAGTGCACTTATTATCTGGACCAGAAGGTGGCGTTGCACATTGGAACAGTGGTGCAGTGCTATTGCTGGCGGAAGAGTATCCATAGCAGCGATAAGTATGGTAACCAATAGTGAGCAGTAGGCAGCACTATGGCCAGCAGGCAGTACACGGCACTGACCCGCTTTGTGGGTCTCGATGGGGTTAAAGATACACAGCAGATTTTTGCCTGCAAAATAAAGATAATGTTGTCTGAGATTTTTAAAATAATTATCTACTTAGCTTACATTCTTTATTTAAATGTTTATTTACTTTTGAGAGAGAGAGCGCGGGGAGACAGAGGATCCAACGCGGTCTCTGCACTGACAGCAGAGAGTTGATGTGGGGCTCGAACTCACGAACCATGAGATCATAACTCCAGGTTGAAGTCAGATGTGTCACCGACTGAGCCACCCGGGCACCCCAATGTCCTATAAATGTTTCTTTCTTGTTGTTCTTGGTACTCAAGAAAATCTGTTGTTACTGTGGCCGTTACTGCCAGTATTCCCCTAAGCATGACTGCTCTGCACCAAGCTAGGCTAGGTTAAAGATGAGGCATGTTGATGGTGTTGTTCTTCATGTCTGAAATTTTTATAGAGGAATCAAATTATTTTATTTAATTTGATATAATATGATGTTTCCTTCACCCACCCAATAGGTGTATCAGTGGCAGGTGCTGTAATTTCCCCAATATTATATACTATACTGATGAATATATGTATTCATATGTTAGTGAATTTCTCAATTTGACCACTAGATGGAAGCATTCTCTCAAAAATTGTTCAGCACTTCTCTGGGTTTTTTTAAATTTAATTAAACAAATTTTTTTTTTAAATGTTTATTTTTGAGAGACAGAGCGTGAGTGAGGCAGGGCAGAAAGAGAGGGAGACACAGAATCTGAAGCAGGCTCCGGGCTGTCAGCACAGAGCCTGACTCGGGGCTTGAACTTGTGAACCGTGATATGACCCGAGCCAAAGTCGGATGCTTAACTAACTGGGCCTCCCAGGTGCTCCCCAGTGGGTCTTTTAATGCAAATATAGTTCTATTTTACCTTTCTTCAAAAAATTTTTTTAAAATGTTTATTTATTTTTGAGAGAGCACAAATGGGGAAGGAGCAGAGAGAGAGGGAGACACAGAATCTGAAGCAGGCTCCAGGCTCTGAGGTGCCAGCACAGAGCCTGACGCGGGGCTCGAACTCACGGACCGCGAGATCATGACCTGAGCCAAAGTCGGCGCTTAACCGACGGAGCCACCCAGGCGCCCCAAATATAGTTCTGTTTTTCTAATGAGATAGCTTCAGGACATGTTTTGCACTTAGGAACACATGTGTAATATGTAATTGTATTATAGTAATGTAACACATATTTTTGAAAAAGCGATTTAGGCATTCTTTTGTTTTCTGGCACAAAACAATTTAAATATAGACAGGAATAAACTGGAGTCATGAGAAAGATATAAGGAAAACCTAGAAGTGAATGGTCTACCTACCACACTAGAGTCACCTTTTAATTTCTAATATTTTCTCAACCATGCCTTTATACATGTTGTCCTGGGCCTGGAATGTCTTCAAAATCCTAACTTTTTCAGGTGTTACCTGCTGTCATACTTCACTCTTCCCTTTATCCTGAGGACAGAATACTTCCTTCCTACAGAAATACTTCCCTGTATTTCCAGTGTAACACCCTCCCCTTGTCCAGTGGTTTATTTATTCATCTATTTATCTGTCTCTCCTTTCACCGTGAGCCTTTTTTTTTTTTTAATGTTTTTAATGTTTATTATTTTGAGAGAGAGAGAGGGAGTGGGGGAGGGTCAGAGAGAGGGAGAGAGAGAATCCCAAGCAGACTCCTTATTGTCAGCATGGAGACCATTGCGGGGTTTGAACTCAAGAACCGGGAGATCATGAACTGAGCCGAAATCAAGAGTTGGTTGCTCAACGAACTGAGCCTCCCATGTGCCCCTCACTGTGAACTTCTGAGCACTGGAACTAGGGTGTGAGTCTGGCTGAGGTACCTGTTATGTGCTGGAATCCAATGATTGTTTGCTGAACGAATGCCGACCTTACCTAGCCGTGTGTAAACTTTGCTATCCATCGTACGAGACATTATTTGGCCAAAAATCCAGCAAATCAAATGGTCTTCTTACCTTCTCCTCCATACATTTCCAATACTAGCCATGCCTCTACATACGGATTGGAGAGCTGAAGCAGAATTTAGTGACAGAGTTTGAAACTCCCAGAGTTTCTTACATTTTTTTTGTGAACGTGGAAAACCTCTTTAGTTTAAAGTCACTGTATTAATTTTATGGCCATGATGTAATACAAAAATATGTATCTTATTGTGGACTTTGTTGAACCTATTTTATAATAAATAACTAATGTTATGAATAAAACCAAATACTGGTTGTTAAAGAATTTGAAGGGGGTCTGTACAATGTATAGAAAATATACCCCTTGCAATACTACTAGGAACCTTTTAGGAAATTAATGTTGTTACCCCTTCCCGAGGATACAGGCTTCTTTTAGCCACTCAAAAAAGGAAACTAATCCAAACTATTATGTTAGGTCCTGCGAGAAGAGAGCTATGATTGATCGCATTTTTTTTTTATAATTTTTTTTAACGTTTATTTATTTTTGAGACAGAGATAGAGGATGAACGGGGGAGGGTCAGAGAGAGAGGGAGACACAGAATCGGAAGCAGGCTCCAGGCTCTGAGCTGTCAGCACAGAGCTCGATGCGGGGCTTGAACTCACGGACTGTAAGATCATGACCTGAGCCGAAGTCGGACGCTCAACCAACGGAGCCACCCAGGTGCCCCTGATCACATTTGTGTATTGCACTTGGATTTTTTGGAGGTTTATCTAATATCAGAATGACTATAAAATTATATTTAAAGCTCTTATAACTACAGATTCTGTTTTACTGTTTATAATACAGAGAATGTAGTGAAGAGTCTTCCCTAGGGCCCTAAGTGAGAGGATATCAGTAAGGATTTGATGATTAAGTATTTTCAGACCTAAAAATCCTAATTTTTTTTTTTAGTGTTTGTTTTTGAGAGTGAGAGACTGAGTGCGAGCGGGAGAGGGGCAGAAAGAGAAGGAGACACAGAATCTGAAGCAGGCTCCAGGTTCTGAGCTGTCAGCACAGAGCCCGACGCGGGGCTCAAACCCACAAACCATGAGACCATGACCTGAGCTGAAGTTGGACGCTTAACTGACTGAGCCAGCCAGTGCCCCCAAACCCTAAGTTTGAATGAATAATTTAAGTAGACATTTTAGCTTAAGTTAAATTATAAAGTTAGACTTTTTGTTGCACCGGTAACAAGAAAACTCAGAAACAAACCAACTAACGTTTATAGTATTTCACCGTCTGTAGAAAGCGCTTTTATGTACTGTATTTCGTTTGACTGAGACAACAGTCTGCAAAGACAGGCAAGGTGAATATAATTTATTTAGAAAAAAGGAACTAGATGGGGCGCCTGGGTGGCGCAGTCGGTTAAGCGTCCGACTTCAGCCAGGTCATGATCTTGCGGTCCGTGAGTTCGAGCCCCACGTCGGGCTCTGGGCTGATGGCTCAGAGCCTGGAGCTTGTTTCCGATTCTGTGTCTCCCTCTCTCTCTGCCCCTCCCCTGTTCATGCTATGTCTCTCTCTGTCCCAAAAATAAATAAACGTTGAGAAAAAAGGAACTAGAAACTCATGGATTTAAGTAATTTGATTGATGTTATACAGCTAATAGCGTGACAGCCTTTCGCCTGCAGCCCTGGTCTCCTGACCTCTTGACCTCTAACCCCACATGTTTTCATAATCATCCAGAAGCTGAGGGGTTTAGTCCCGTTTCTGTCCCTGAAGTGCTGTATAAACGTTAGCACCTAAATATTTTGAGTTTCATTTTCCTTGTTTGGAGCATGAATGTTAATATCTGTCTCTTCTGTGTGAGAAGGTCACTGTGAAGTACATCAAAGCTGTTAAGTCTTGTGTGAGGTATTACTGTGATTTCTTGGAAATGTATGTGTGTAATAGAATTGATCCTATAGACCTGTGAAGCCAGGATCATTAATTGTTGGGAGAGGGGATGTCTTTTAGGTTATACAGGGCTCAGCTCAGATTACAGATTGTTAAAACATGGGACCTGAAGTCAGATAAAAATAAATTTTAATACTGCTCAGCCATTTACCAGTAGTGTGACATTGGCCAGATATTAATGATAACGTTAGTTATTATATATGTCTATTTTAGGGGAATCTTTAGACAATGAACAGATTTTAACAATTTACTTAAATTTGCAGTGTAGAGGAGAAACATTAAGAGCCGTAACTGAATTTTATCTTAAAAAAAAAAAATCTCTGGACAAAAGTTTATATGAAATTTGCTACGGTAGCCACACTGTGGCACTCCTTACTTATGTAAGACTATTCATTTCAAATTTTCTCAGCAAATTGTGCTTTATGAAATGCAATACCGTACTATTTGTAGGGAATTCATTGTTTTCTTACATGTTCTTCAGCATATTAGTAACTTACTGCAGAGTTTCATAAATAGCAATGTAGTAATCCCAAATAATTAAAAGTAAAAAAAAAAACCATTGGAATCTCAAATTCAGAAAACACTGTAGCTTCTTGCTTTTGATGGTGTGATAGTGTGTGTGTGTTTGCGTGCGTGGGTATGTGCACAAGGCGACTTAGGGATGAAAGTGCAAAATAGCAAGAGTTCAGCAAACCACTTAAATAATACTTGTTACAAGGCATGTGCTCATCAACCAGCTACCTTTGTTCCCAGAGGTGGATTGCCCTCATAGCTATAACTTGAGCCATCGACTGTATGATTTACCAGGAACAGAAACAAAATGCTAGCCTTCACTGAGAAGAGATGAACCCAAGCAACCAATAATACTAACCGAAGGCCTTATTATAGTCAAGTGAATGGAATCCGTGAAATCTGGATGGGACCCACAAGTTGCCATCAATGAGATCTTGGTTAGAAGTAGTTCAAATTTTTTTTTTTTCCCATGAGAGACTCTGAATGAATTTCTTGAAAGAGGAATAGGCACTGCACAGGATGACACATGGGCTTGCTAGAGGGTGAAGCATCTAGAAGACTGACTTTCTTAGGAAGTCCAGCCTGGAGACACCCGAGGGAGGTAGAGGAGGTGAAACAGCTCACTGTGTCCCACTTTGTGCGTAAGGAAAGGATGAGGG